AGGAATTTACCCAAGGGATACAGAAATGCTGATGCATAGGAGCACATGGACCCCAATGTTCATAGCAGCACTCTCCACAATAGCTAAAACATGGAAAGAGCCTAAGTGTCCATCAACAGATGAATGGATCAAGAAGATGTGGTTTCTCTACACCATGGAATACTACATGGCAATGAGAAACAATGAAATCTGGCCATGTGTAGCATCATGGATGGACCTTGAGGGTGTTATGCTGAGCGAAATAAGTCAGGCAGAGAAGGACAAATATCATATGTTTGCACGTATAGGAGGATTAGGAGGAACTTGACGGAGGACCATGGGGGAGAAGAAGGGGGAAAATGGTGGGGGAAAGGGAGAGAGGCATACCATGAGAGACTCTTGAATGCTGACAAAAACTGAGAACTGATGGATTTGGGGGGGAGTGGGGACGGGCATGGAGGAGGACACTTGTGGGGATGAGCACTGAGTGTTATGTGGAAACTAATTTGACAATAAACTATTTGTAAAAAAGTAAATAAATAAATAAATGCCAATTAGGGAGGTGGCTGGGTGGCTCAGTCAGTTAAGCATCAGACTCTTAATTTCAGCTCAGGTTATGATCACATGGTTTGTGGAATCAAGTCCTGCATCAGGCTGCACCAACAGCCCAGAGACGCTTGAGATTCTCTCTTTCTCCTCTCTCTCTCTCTCAAAATAACTTAAAAATAAATAAACAAATAAATGCCAATTAAGAATGAACCAAGAAAATTATGTAACATACACTATTGCTAGGTAATGAAAACCTTTTTTCCCCAAAACTGTTTAATATTTTTAACAAAATGCAGGTATCATATTTTCCAGGATTAGAGTATTTAAAAATAATTTTATTAAAAAAAAGTCACTAAAAGTCCTGAAGAATGTTTTTCTTGGATTCTCAGAGCCAATTATCAGTTTATAGACCATTGATAAAGGTTCAGATCAGACTAGCCAATAGCCTGGATATCTGAGAAAACAGAGGCTAAACTGAGATAGAAGAAAGACTTTTGTGTTTTCTATATAAAATCAGACAATTCTGTCATTTTACTACTCCTATGCACCAAAAAAACCACACACACACACACACACACACACAAAACCCACAATAAAAACCCTCCTCTATTCTCTGGCCACATCTTTTATACTTAATCCCGAATATCTGTGTTCTATGTGAAGTTCTTGCCATGGGGAAGGCTGAGGAAAACACACTGAGGGGTGGTTCCAGGCAAACCTGCCTCAGATGCTAGTAAGACTTGGCATTCGTAGTCATTCAGTGTGGGGCTGAAGGACTTTAGAATTATCATGCAAGGACCAAAATTATGAGGTGCAGTAACAATTTGCACAAGTGATGGGGCTGCAGAATGGATTTGAGATTTATTTGAAGTTTCAGTTATTTGAACCTGAAAGTCTTACTATTTCCCTTAAAATGCGAGCTGAACAAAAAATTCAAGTCATATAGAGTAACAGAAAACAGGAAATTATCCTCTGAAATCAGAGCTCACAGCAATAACCACTATTAACACTTGATGGGTGTTAATATTTTGCTTTTGTTTTTAAACCTATCTCAAAGTAATTATTTCTCACCCATGCACAGTGATAAAATACTGGAACTTTTAATACTCAACCTATTTATTTACTACAGATACAAGATGTTGCAAAAAAGAAAATCTAACTAGCCACTGTGAACTTACGGCTGTAGGAAAATGAGCTCTCACCATAAACTTCACCCTTTTAAGGTGTATACCTCATTGTTTCTGGTTTATTCAGAGTCATGCAACCATCAACACTAGTTCTGGAATATTCTCACCACACCAAAAAGAAGCTCCATTATGTGGTCTGTGTAACAGGCTTCTTCCACTTAGCATAATGTTTAAAGCTTCACCCAAGTTAGAACATGAGTCAGAAATTCTTTCATTTTTTTGGCTGAATAATATTCCATGTAGAAGTATACCACATTTCGTGATATATTCAGCAACTGATGGACATTTGGTCTCCACACTCTGCCTATTACGAACAATGGTGCTCTAAACACTCCTGTACAAGGTTTTGCATTTTCACAAAACATTTATGTTTTCAATTTTATACACAATTGCTGGGTCAAGTGGTAACTCTGTTTCTTTTCCAAGGCACTGAAAAACTGGTTTCCCTAACAGTTGCACTATTCACATCTGCAACAGTGCTGTGTAAGAGTTCCGATTTCTCCCCACCCTTTCCAACACTTGCTACCTTATATCTTCTTTATTATAGTCATCTAGCATGTTTGAAGTGGTATCTCATTGTGATTGTGATTTGCACTTCCCGATGAATAGTGATGCTGGGCGTCTTTGGATGCACCTATTGGCCCTCAACATAGCTTTTTAGAGAAATATCTACTCAAATTTTTTGCCCATGTTTTAATTAGGCTTTTTAAAAATTCAAGTATAATTAACATACAGTTTAGATTAGTTTCAGGTGTACAATATGATTCAACAATTCTATTTGTTACTCAGTGCTCATCACGATAAGTGTACATTCTCATATATTAGGGATATATATATTACTGGATATATGGTTTACAAGTATTTTCTCCCATTCTCTGGATTGTCTTTTGAGTTTCTTGACAGGCCTCTGAAACACAAAAGTTTTAAATTTTGATGTCAATTTCACCTATTTTGTCTTTTTTAAAAATGTTTTATTTATTTCCAGGAGAGAGACAGCATGAGCAGGGGAGGGTCAGAGAGAGAGGAAGACACAGAATCTGAAACAGGCTCCAGGCTCTGAGTTAATGTCAGCACAGAGCCCAATGCGGGGCTCAAACCCACTAGCCACGAGATCATGACCTGAGCCGAAGTCAGACGCTTAACCGAATGAGATACCCAGTTGCCACAAACCTATTTTGTCTTTTGTTGCTTGGACTTGTAGGATCATATCTAAGAAATCACTACCTAATTCCAGATCATAAACATTTTTGCCCATGTTTTCTCCTTAAAGTTTTACAGTCTTAACTCTCATTTAGATCTTTGACCCATTTTGAATTAATTTTGTATTTTTTGGGAGGTAGAGATCTAACTTTATTGTTTCATTTGTGGATATCCAGTTCTGACAGCACCAATTCTTGAAAAGAATATTCTTTCCTCATTGAATAGTCTTGGCATATAGCTTTTTAAAATCTTCCTTAAATGTTCTATACCTTAATGGTGGACCTGGTTACACAACCATGTCAAAACTCTTTGAACTGTACATTTAGAAGAATAAATTTTATTGTATACACATAACACACTCAATACAATTACAAGTTCTCCTTTAGAGAAACATTCACATATAGGACATGTAAGGATCACAATCTTCACAAGTACTATACTATTTGTAATAAAGACAAACAGGAAACCATCTGAACCTCTATCAAAAAAACAAACAGATGTAGAAGAATCACAGGATTGAATACCATGCAACAGTACAAAGGAATAAGCTAGGTTTTATATATATTAAATGGATAAGGTTTTCTGTTAAACAAAAAAGATCAGTGTACAATGACTGACACAGAATGAAAGTACCTATGTAAAAAAGATATACAAAACCAAGCTACACAGGCTCTATACAGTGTGGAAGAATACTTGGCACACAATAACACTCACTACCTCTGGAGAGAGCAAAAAGGGACCAAGACTGGACAGGGTGATCAAAAAGGAGTTAAAAAAATGAACTATTGGGACCTTATGAAAATAAAAACCTTCTTCACAGTGAAGGAAACAATCAGAAAAACTAAAAAGCAACTGATGGAATGGGAGAAGATATTTGCAAATGAAATATCAGATAAGGTTTAGTATCCAAAATCTGTAGGGCACTTCTCAAACTCAACACCCAGAAAACAAATAATCCAGTGAAGAAATGGGCAAGAGATATGAATAGACACTTCTCCAAAGAAGACATCCAGATGGTCAACCAACACATGAAAAAGGTTCAACATCACTCATCATCTGGGAAATACAAATCAAAACCCAATGAGATACCACCTCACAACTGTCAGAATAGCTAACATTAACAACTCAGGCAACAACAGATGTTGGTGAGAATGCTCATAAAGAGGGTCTCTTTTGCACTGCTAGTGGGAATGCAAACTGGTGCAGCCACTCTGGAAAACACTGTGGACATTCTTCAAAAAATTAAAACTAGAACTACCCTATGACCCAGCAACTACACTAATAGGTATTTATCCAAAAGATACAGGTGTGCTGTTTTGAAGGGATCCATTAAACCCCAATGTTTATAGCAGCACTATCCACAATAGCCAAAGTATGGATGAATGGATAAAGAAGATATGGGGTGTGTGTGTGTGTGTGTGTGTGTGTGTGTGTGTGTACATACAATGGAGTATTATGTGGCAATCAAAAAGAATGAAATCTTGCCATTTGCAACTATGTGGATGGAACTAGAGGGTATTATGCTAAGTGAAATCAGTCAGTCAGAGAAAAATATCATATGACTTCATTCATATGAGGACTTTAAGATACAAAACAGGTGAACGTAAGGGAAGGGTAGCAAAAATAATATAAAAACAGGGAGAGGGACAAAAGATAAGAGACTCTTAAATATAGAGAACAAACAGAGGGTTGCTGGAGGGGTTGTGGGAGGGGGGATGGGCTAAAGGGGTAAGGGGCTTAAGGAATCTACTCCTGAAATCATTGCTGTACCATGTGCTAACTAACTTGGATATAAATTATAAAAATAAATAAGTTAAAGAGAAAATAAAAAGAAAGGAGTTGAGCTCTGCTATATTTCCCCCAAAGAGAAATCTACTTATTAACTACCTGTATGATTAAAAATTAATAATGTGTAACTTATGGAATTGTAAACCAAGGTTATAAGTACGCAATCATGGCTTTTTAATATATGAGCTCATTTGTGCATCCCTGTACCCAACACACACACACACACACACACACACACACACAGAGGTGGTCTTACCAATTGGGATTTTCCACACTTTCCCGGAAGACAGACTCTTCCTTCATGGATGCATATTGTGTCCATGTAAGGCAGTGACTCCGTATAGCCATGTTTCTTTCCTGAGGATTGAGCCATGATTCCTCTTCCAACTGGATACTAGGTACCTTTAAAATGCTCACCTGTCCAACAGAGAGTAAACGGCCTTCTCAAATGAAGAAGAGCAAGCTATATAGATGGACAGAGTCCAGAGTTGCTTTCAGTCTTGGATAATTAAGAGGACAAGCGATCCTGATATAACAAATGATGGCTCACCAATGGCTGTGAGTCCTTGATAATCAAACATACCATGACCTTACTAAATGCTGGTGAGGACATGCAAATGGCCCAGGATTTATGGAAGCTGTAGAGTCCCTGGCCTGATTTCCCTAACTGCTAAACACTAAGCAAATTATCAGCCTCCTTCGTGTCTCCTCCAGGGCTGGTTATGGCCTTCTTAAATTGATGGATTCTAATTGGGCCCACTTATGGGCTCACATGCAAGACAGTATCAGATAAAATATTTTCTTCATTTTAAACTCTGTCCAATACCTCGAAATGTATGCTTTCGGAGGTGGAGGAGACATGAGAAACTACAAAGGCAGCACTATACAAGTCAGAGGCGTCCTTAAATTATTTAAGAATTGAGATACAAGACAAAGTTGAATGTCTTTAAATAATAGATTCAAAGGGTGTATATAGGGCAAAGGCAGGGTATACACCCTGTGGAAAAAGCCAGTCATAATTTGTTGCATTCAGGGCAACACATTTTAGCATCTGGAAAATAAAGCTCTTTTGCATTGTCATATCAGCTTTCTTTCCTCCAAAGAATATGACCGAATCTTAATCCAGGATGAGGAAGTGATAGACGCCATCGCTTTGTCTACAGAGAGCAAACAGCATAGCAATGTTATCTGCAAGCTAAGTGGCTTCTCTGTCACCAAATGAATCACTTCCAGGTTGAAACAACCATCTGAGACATCTTAAGGAGTGCTCATCAAGATGTTCTCCTTTTATTTCCTAAAGATTCTAAAAGGACTCTTGTCAATAATCCCTCCATGATTCAAGCACTGTTATTAAAAATTCCCCCTTACCTTTGCCAACAATCACCAGAATGCTTAAGAATTTCAAAGAGAGAAAACAATTTGGTATCATGAAGATTTCATCATCACCACTGTTACTTTACAGAAATACACACAAAAAGACTTACATAGAGCACTGAGAAGATTATACTCCCTGAAATAACTTCTCTAACAGTGACATAGAAACTGAAGCTTTTATCTTCCTTGCTAAAGAGACTAAATATTTACCATCTGTCCACTTCTGATCATTCTTCTCTAAGAGTCTTATCTAACCACAGACAGATGAGAAAAGATGGTCACTTCATGCAAAATGTCCAACACATCTTTAACATAACTGTAGACCATCTCTATGTCCACTAAGAGCCCTCCACAAAAGAGAAGCAGAAACAAAAAGAAAGAAAAAAATACTATCTCCAGTGGCATCTGCCAAAACTGAGGTTAGATATGAGAGTACTTTCTTCCTCTGAGGAGCTATGCGGTCCAACTGGGAAAGTTCTAACACTCCTCTACATCAGAAAATGCTATCTCTTTCCAGGACTGTGTGAAAATCACCCAGTGTGACACCAAATCTGATTAAATTTTAAAATGAATTTACCTTCCTTAAAATTTCTGGAACCACATTCTGACAGATCGCAATCCTCTTTCTATAGATGATCCCTGTTGACACGTCTAGAAACAGAAAATTTTTATACTTAAAAAATGTTTAAGGATATGTATTCCTGTCCTAATGTCAATAAAACTTTTCATTTCAATGTCAGTTTTCTATATGTAGAATTCCTAGAGAAAAAAATGTTTAACTCAAAACTCAGTATCCTTGGCCACTTTTCTGAGCCAAATCATTCCTTACACACTTATCTGTAATCAAGGAAAAAGGGTAAGACAGCTATTCACTCTGCACATTCTAAAGTCAGGGAGAAAGAATCACAAACTGTTCACAGCTCTGGGTTACCAATGTCAACATTCCAATGACAAGGGCCAATGAGCCTTCTGCTCAGCTCCCACAAAGACAATGTTTTCACAAGAATATGGAGAATCTGATTCTGCCACATTCTGCACCAAACATGTATTTCTAGGTACAGATTTCTAGGTACACAATTTAAACCTTTAATTAATTATATTAGCCATAGTCTTCTCTCATGAAGAAGCAGATTCCCTGTGACTGGCACTACTCTGTTTTGGAACAGTTTCCAATAATGTGAAAAGCATACAATGAATGTGAATGAAGACAAGGGGGGACCGAGTCAGAGGAAAAAAAAAAAAAAACTCTGAGGTATTGTCTTTTGCCCTCTAAGATACTGTGACTCAGCCAGGCTCCTGGAGGGTTTCTCAAAGCTCTGGTTATAGTAGCCATGATGGTGCAAATACCCAGACTGCTCAGAAGCCATGGACAGGGTGAAAAGAGGGTTCCTCCTGCCCACTGGCAGTCCTTCAGCCAGCTTATCCAATGTCTGCAGCACACACACTTAAAATGGATTAGCCACCCCTGCAGGCAAAGATGCTCCCGTCAATGGCAGAAATCATAATTAATGTTCCTATGCCACTTTGGAATACACATATTGTCCTCTCATTTGATCTTCACAACAACCTAAAAGCAGGATTATTATTACGTTCCCATTGAATAAATGAAATCATAGCCTCCAAGAAGTTAGGTCATGCAGGTAGTATCAAAAGCAAGGCTTCGAATCAGAGTTCTCTGATGCCAAATAACAAGTTTCTCCCACACTGAGTGCACACACATGAAAAATATGTTGTTTTAATCCATTAATAGAGTTATGGACGCTAAGAAAACACCCTCACGTGCGAAAGACAGTTTCTGTGTTCACCAGTCACAAGGACTTCAGAGTCACGTCACAAATCGTGGCATCTCACATGTTTTTCAGGAGGCTCAAGAGCATATCAGGAGTAGGTCTACATGTCTCCAAATGTTGACACACTGATTATGGGTCTCACTGGAGATTCCTACATGGCCCGGTTCTCAAGTCCAGGCAACGGCAATGAAAATGATTTCACTGAGATACAAGTGACAGAGAGCAGTGAAAACTCCTGCACTCTAGCCCAGGGGTGAATAAACCTCTCCCGTAAAGGGCCACACAGTAAATATTTTAGGCTTTAAGGCCTGAACAATCTTGTTGCAAGAACTTAACTCTGCTGTTGCTGCAAAGAAGAAGCCATAGATAATATGCAAACAAGTGGGCATTGCTGTATGTCAATAAAACTTTATTCACAACATCAAGCAGGACAAGCATAGTTCGTCCACCCCTGCGCTGGGTCAATATGGAGCCATACTGCTAAGTACAGTTATGATTCCATAACATCATCACTTTACAGTCACATCTTACATGCATGCTACTAATCACAATTGTTTTGCCATTTGCCAAAATGATACCCGAATATATTTAGAGATATAGCCATGTGACCTTGGGCAATTTAACCTTTAATTTATTGATTTCTTCATACATTAAATGGGAGTAAGAATAATACATACTCCATACATTATTCTGAAGATTAAAGAAGTTAGTAAAAGTTAGAGTGCCTGGTACATATTCACTGCTCAGAAATGCTGGCTGTTACTATTGTCATCAGTCATTAATTGAGAGAGTGACAAAAGCATATTAAACAAGACTTCTACTGCTGCTGTAAATGCTGGGTACTCTTCTCTGTCACCTCAAATACATAAATACACCTGTTCCTGTATCTGTTTAAAAAGCAATAGGCTGGGGTGCTGGGGTGGCTCAGTCAGTTAAGCATCCAACTCTTGATCTCAGCTCAGGTCATGATCTCATAGTTTGTTGAGTTCAATTCCATGCCGGGATCTGCACTGACAGTGTGGAGTCTGCTTAGGAGTCCTTCTCTCTCCCTCTCTCTGCCCTTTGCCTGCTCATTCTCTCTCTCTGTCTCTCTCTCAAAATAAAAACTAAACTTAAAAAAACAAAACAAAAAAAAGTAATAGGCTACACACACACACACACACACACACACACACACACACACCCCTTGACAAACCTCACTATTACTTAATGATCATCGCCAAAGTGAGGTATATTCAGAGAACTTACCTCTTTTTTCCTCCACAGTTACTACAGAGATGACATTTTTATCCATGGGGTTGGGATACTAAATGAAAACACATAAAGAAGAATTACCATTCATCCTTCACCCAAGTGAATTACCTCACAGTAACCACAGTTATTTGCAAGAATGGTAAATATTTTCCAAGCAACTCTAAGGCCAGTTTTCAATCAAGGCCCTTCATTGTACTACTTGGGCCTAGATGAGCAAGAGGCTATCATCAACTGAATCTGAATAAGCCCAGGAGAAACCTTTAGATCCAACACAGCCCTGGGCAGAGAAGGGAGGGTTAGGTGAATCTAATTAATCAGTATTACTATTAGCATGGAACCAGCCCGACATAAATGAAGAGTGTCCTTTGTGCCAAGCACTGCACTACATGCTTTATTCACTTACATGATCTAGTGTTTTTTTTTAAGTTTATTTATTTAGTTGAGAGGGAATTGGTGGGGGGATGGGTACAGAGACAGAGAATCCCCAGCAGGCCTCTTACTCTCAGTGTGGAGCCTGCCGTCGAGTTCGATCTCATGAACTGTGAGAATGTAACCTGTGCCAAAATCAAGAGTTGGGCGCTTAACTGACTGAGCCACCCAGGTGCCCCTACATGATCTTGTTTAAGTCCCCAAACAGCCTCTCTGCTGTGGCTAGGCCATGTGTTATCATTACTTCATCTGTCAGAAATGGAAACTGAATAAAGGTTAGAGTTTAGGATCACCCAGCTAGTTAGTGGGAGAGCTGTGAAATTAAACCAGGCCTAATTCAGAGTGAACCTTCCACTATGATCGGGTACCATTGCCAGACAGCTGGGTTAGCCTCAGAGGAGAATAATTACAGAAGTAGTCTACTCCAGGTGCTCAATGAATCATTTATCTATTAATTCCTCTAAAAGACAATTTGGATATAACAAGGCTGGAAAACGCTATCATTTTTGTCATGGGCAGTTTACATAATTTCATTTTAATTCTCAAATTAATACCATGAGGTATATGCTGCTTTTCCCCTTTCACATGTGAAAAATAAGGCCCAGATAAACTAAATAATCTGCTCAAAACCACCCAGCTAATGAGCACTGAGATTATAATTTACCCACAGATATTTTGTATTGCCTTCTACACCTGCCTACCTAACCGACTCTTAAATGGCCTCAGAATTACTCAAACCCAATGCTTTCTATTGTTCAGATGCAAAGTGAAAGACTTCTGGGGTAGAAGTGACTTCCTCAAAGCCATAAATCAATGGGCCCCCTGGTCCAAGCCTACTGAGCACTCCTTGGGCTCTTTGCCCAGAGACTTCATCGTGTGATCAAACCTGAAAAGAAAATTACAGGAAGTCTTATCCAGGACATCAAGAAGTGCTGAAGGGGAGGGAGAGCAGTGAAAAGGCTGACGGGCAGGAAAAGAGGGGCCTTCTACTTGATGAACTTGAGCTTCAAGTCTCTGAAAACCCAGAAAGTGGTATATGCTACTCAGTATGTGGGTCTCCCTCATCTCACAGCAGCTTCCTGCATGCATGCATGCGTGCGTGCGTGAGTGTGTGTGTGTGTGTGAGAGAGAGAGAGAGGTGTGAGAGAGAGAGAGAGAGAGAGAGAGAGAGAGAGAGAGAGAGAGAGGCAGGTTGGCTGAGCGGTTGATTTTCAGAGAAGAGGGTCCATTACTTACATTATTAAAGACACGTGTGGCCCAAAAAGACACTGGATTAGAACTCAGATCCTATGAGAACAGGAATATGATCTATTTCAGCCACTCCTGTATCTCTACCACCATCACAGTGTCTGGCACATAGCCGGTTCTCAATACATTTTTGCTGAATGAATGATTAGGAAGATGAACCTCGCTCACCTAGGAGGTCAATTCAGAAAATAAACCTTACTTTGGAGAACTATCTGTAAAGAGAACAGATGGTCAGCTCTCTCTGGTCAGCCCTCAGCAGCCTGATGCTGCATCATCCCCATCCTGGCAGTTGCAATCTTGGTAAGTAATCACAAAGCTGATTTTTAAGAATTCATCCATTCATTCATTTTTGCTCCAGGGGAAGAAAGAGCAGCTCAAAATTATAGTGACTGCTTTCTTGAAGTTTCACCTTCAGGTAATTCCCACCAGGTAAAATCAAGTTTAGTTACTCTGCTCTTTGGCAAGGGCCTCACTTACAGAGCACATGTGAACAAGTAAGCTCTGTGAGCCTCACAGAGATCCCTGGAATTATGTGTTTGGGTGTGTGAACAGAAACATTTATGCTAAGGTAAAATGAAAGTCTGAGAGTATTTCCTTGACTAGTCCTGGTGTGCTCATTTTTCAATTCATCAGTACACCCTGACTGAATATTACAAATAGACTGTAAGTTGTAGGAAGATAACTAAGTTATGGAAGAGATTTGAAATGTAATCACCAGAGGGAAGAGTGATAAAAGCTCTCAAGTTCTAATTATTTCGCTAAGGTATCAGTAAAAGTCCCAAAGAACACAGACTCTGAAACTTCATACTTTTACATAATTTCAAGATTTGCTTATTAAGCCAAAGAGCATTGACTGAAGCAGTTGTGACAATTCTCTATTCTTCATTTAAGAGGTTTTGAGAACCTATCATGCCAGGCACCATTCCAGGCACTGAGGATATAGTAATGAAATAAAATTGTAGCCTCTTACCCAGTTTCCATGTTAGTTGGAGAAACAAACAAGAAAAAAAATAAATATATCAAGAGAAAATAAATCAGACTAACGGATAATAGGGAGATGGGAAACTGTGGAGAGGTGTCATTATAAAATACTTAAGGGTCACCCAATAGACAATGCTTGTAAATAACAAGTAAAACGAAGGTTTTATTAGCCAAACACAAGACATCTGGAACTATTCTCTTTAGTAAAATCATCTCCATGATACAAGTCATTTACCTACACAACTACTTTTGGAGTTGAATAGATATGAGCCTCAAGTTTCCATATGAGAATGGGAAAAGAAAAGAGAGGTTTACAATAACTAAAATTCACTTTTTAAAATTAAAGATTCGTTGTGTTGAGGCTCCCCCTATCTGGCATTACTTGAAATGATCTGACGCCATCTTGTGGTAACTGGAATATTCATGATTTAACTCAGGAACATTTTTCTGAACTTAGGTTAACAAGGGGCTGAGAGAGGGAAGGCTCTCAGAGAGGGTCATCACCAGGAATCCCAATTTGGGAAGACGGGAAGCAGAACACAGGTTTCTCTGGACATTTTTTCCAACATGGTATGACACTGGGACGGACCAACCACGGTCAGGATTAAGACCATCAAAGTCTTACTGCGCACGCAGTGTTCTACTCTGCCCATGCCTGTATTAGAGGCTGCCATATGCATATCTCATTTAGTACTTCCCCAAGTGAGTAAACCAATTAACAACTATTAAGATAAGGAGTCTTTGCATGAGGTTTTATTAGCCATGGAAAATATAATGGCAATGGCATAAAGGCTGCACCCATACAGGGTCACAGAGTTTCCAATCCCCACTCCACACCAGCGACTCTCATGGAAGCAAAGTGGTGTCAACACGCAGATATCTGCCAGAAATGCTTGCCATCTCCAGACCTGGCTCAGGGGATCACAAGCTGCAGTGGCATAAAAATAATTACCACACGGGGGGCTGTGTACACTCACCACCTATGCCATATATTCTGGCTGACTTAAGGCATATTCCAAGGTATACTTCAACCTCATTTTGAACTTACTCATGATCTTCCTTTCTTTACTAAATGTGTAAGCTAACTCCTTTTCCTTTTCCCAAGATATAAATCTGTTGCAAATATCACAAGGGTAAAATGTAGACTTTTCTACATTGTCATATATCTTGCTTTCATTTACTTTTTACAAGTTAGTAGGTAAGAGGGCTAAGTAAATAAGTAAAAGAGGCCAAAAACTCCAAAATGCTGGGTAAAAAAAGAAAATATACATCAAGACAAACAGAAAATCAAATCTATCTACAGGAATTAACAGCCACTCTATTTGTGGGAAGACCTTCGGGAAGATATGGTTATTTACCTTTCTTACTTACAAGGGAAAACTATACAAGCTTTCATAAAGCCTACTCTTAAGAGTAAGGAGTTTTTAAAATACCAACTTTCCAAAAGGCTCAGAAGTCAATGCCTGCCTTTTAAAATACCCCTTCCCCCAAAAAAGAGTCAATGACCTGCAAAGGAGCCATTGTTTACCAACTTCCAAATGGGATTATCAAAGACAGCACAAGAAGCAACTCAGCAACAAATCTGCATTAGTCCTACAAAGTCTAAGAGGAGCTATGGTAAGTCCATATTAACACATCTGTTTTATAAGCATTACGAGAATCTTCGCTTCTCCAAACATGCACATGCAAAGCAGGGGGGCTGCTGAAAAGAGATTTGGCATTTTAGCTCAACAAAAAAATCACCAGGAACCGTGCCAAGTTCCCTTTAGGACCTCCATGCAATAAATAGTCTATCTTGGAGGAAAGCAAAGTTGATTTTATACCAAGATCAAATGAATCATCGATTAATCAAAGTATCAGTGTTCAAGGACAAAACATTTTTAGTCAATAAATTCTTGAATGCTGTGCATCGGTCTTTCAGGCGAATGGGACGATGAAGCAGAAGGAACACAGGACAAGAAATGCAGACACACAGACGGTGACACTGCCACCTCTGGAGCCAGGGCGATGGACCACTGGAGGACACTCAAGGCCGTTCTGATTCTAAACAAAGGCCTACAACATCACGTCACCCTTATTCATTCAAAAATGTTCTAATAACTGGCAATGACACGATGAAGTTTTTTGAAAGAAATAGCTTATAACTGTGACACAAAGGAAAACCCTTGTTATCTCAACATTAAATGCAGACATAAACCAAATGCATTTAAAGATTAAACAGTCTACAAAATAACAGACCAGTACTCTTCAAAAGTGCCATGGTCCAGAAAGACAAAAAAATACAGGAACTGTCCCACACCGGAGGAGACTAAGACATGACAACTAAATGCAATGGGGGATCCCTGATTGACTCCTAGACTGGGAAAAATGCTAAAATGAGTGCACTACTGCCAAATCTGAATAACGTCTGTAGATTACTTAACACTGTATCAATGCTAATTCCCTAGCTTTAAAAACTACACAGTGGGTTGGGGAAGCTGGGTGAAGGGTATACTGGAATTCTTTGTTTTGCACCATTTTTTTAAATCAAATTACAGTTGAGTCTTGAACAACAGGGGTTTGAACAGTGTGGGTCCACTTCTATGTGGGGTCAGTTTCAATAAATACAGTACAGGACCATAAATGCACTTTCTCTTCCTTATGCCTTTCTCAACATTGTTTTTTCTCTAGTTCTCATACCATCAAAATACAGTGCATTATATATATACATATATATGTATATTTATAAATTTTATATATAAAACATACAAGTATGTGTTAAGTCACTGTTCATGTCATCAGTAAGGCTTATGGTCAATAGCAGGCTACTAGTAGTTAAACGTGGGAGGGCGGGAATCAAAAGTCACATAGATGCAGATTTTCAATGGTGTGGGGGCCAGTGCCCCAATCACCATGTTGTTCAGGGTCAACTGTATTTCTAAATGAAAACTTAAGAAATAAAAAAACAAAGTTAAAATGAAAATAGGGTTGGAAACAGAAGGAGTTTTAGAACCCAAGAGACTTCAGTTTGAACCCCATCTGTGGGAGTCTGGGGCAAAATGCTTTAATCTGAGCCTGCCTTAATTTCTCCATCTGTAAAAATGGGGGAGGAGGGAATCCATCTCAAAGAGTTGTCATAGAAATTAAAGGGAATAATTTTATGTAAAGTGTAGCAACTGGCATCATGCAGGTTCTCAATAAACAGGAACAGTTTTTTGCTGATAAAGAATGAAAGGCAACATTTTTTAAAACTCAGTTTAAGGACTTTAGTGCTTATCTTGCAATTTACTGTGGTGTGGCATTACGCACACTCCCAGTACCCATCTGCAAACCCAAAACATGTAGGTGATGATTTAAAAATCATTAGAAAAGGGGCACCTGGGTGGCTCCAACTTCAGTTCAGGACCTGATCTCAGGGTCTGCAGGTTTGAGCCCCCCATTGGACGCTGTGCTGACAGCTCAGAGCCTGGAGCCTGCTTCAGAATCTATTTCCTTCTCTCTCTGCCTCTCCCCTGCTTATGCTCTGTCTTACTTTCTCTCAAAAATAAACATTAAGAAAAACTTTTTTAATAAATAAATAAAATAAAAATCATTAAAAGATATTTCTTCTCCTCCTAGATGAAGAAAACTTCACAAGCTCGTGCTTTACCCATCTGGAGTCCATGTGAGAGGAACTGCTGACAATCCCTCCCTGTGAGCATTAAGGAAGGCATCGCGCCCAGAAAACAGGAGTACTAGACAGTACTTAACTTTTCAGAAAAGGCAACAAACTCTTTCTAAGCACTCTAAAAGCTCTCATAGATTTATAATTAAAACATGGGGCACCTGGCTGGCTCAGTCAGTGGAGCGTGTGACTCTTGACAATCTCAGGGTTGTGAGTTCGAGCCCCATGGTGGGTGTCGAGATTACTTCAAAATAAAAATTTATTTCAAAAGATAGGATCCTTGCCCCACACTCTATGTCTGTAACATGCCCCTGATCCCCCAAATTAGTGTATTTCCCCCTGTCCCTGTGACCGTGGGCTCCTTGAGGGCTGGGGCCATGTTTTATTTATATCTTCATCTCCCAGAGGCAAAAAGATGCATTAAACTTACTGTAAGTGTCCATTACTAGACCTATGAAAGGTTTTACCATTAGTACTTCGTTATTTGTTAAAAACTATCCTACCTCTTATAAACTGATTAAGCCACAACCACCAATGGATAAGTTTCCAAGTACAGTTTAATATTATTTAAATAACATCTAGAAAACAAGTCATAATTCAAATGTGCACCTTTATTCATGCTCTTTCTTCTCTTTATTACTCCAAGGTGGTAAAGATTTCTGCAGGCTACTCCTCTCAGCTTTTTATTTTCAGGTTCGTGGAATAAATGTAAGAAGTTATTATTAGTAGTATTACTCTCAAGATTTTTAATGAGCACTGTACTTCAAAAGCACCTACTGTGTGCCAAAACATGCAACTATGTGCATTATCCACTTAATTTGCCCCAACAATTCCAGAAGACAGTGACCATTCTCTTACTCTGCAGATGAGGAAACTGAGGCATAGAAAAAGAGCTGACTTGCCCAAACTCACACAGCTAGAAGCACTCGGTCCCCCCGTCTGATGTCAGAGCCCGCACTCTTCCCGTGAGCACCATTCTGCTTCATGTCGTACCTAATCTTCTTCTAGGAGAATTGAGGATAGGAAGATAAAAGAAAGACTATTACAGGGTAAGTAAAGAGATAAACAATGATTATGTTAAACTAGGCCTATCATTTGTCAAATCATTGATTTTGGAAATATGGGTTTGCCCCAAGTATTTCAGGAGCTCTGCAGGAAGAGCTGTTCCATACAACTACGGTCAGATTTGTAAGGGAGAAAAGATAGGATCAGAAATCAGAAACATTATTAATTGCCCAATCAACTTTCTACTCTAAATGGAAATAGCCATTCATAAATCGCCTTTATGAGTATAAGGGTAAACACTCAAACCATTTTGTTCAGCACATCAGGCTCCTGGCTGGAATAAATAAAACCCAAGGCCACTGTGTTGAAGCAAGGAAATTATTTTGATATGTCAATTTTATTACAGTACCCTAAGTAAGGACACGGTACTGAACCCCACAATAACTTCAGCCTGAAATCACACAGGGCCAAACTCCTGAATAGTCTATTTCATTATCCACTACAGCAAGGATTTGTTGAGGGTATGTTCCAGGGTCTCTGTGGGTGCTTGCAGTGCATAAGGAATCAATGATAGAGTGTAAGCCCATGAATCTCACACTCTATTCACAAAGACTCTTGCCGACAGCACAGAAAGAAAATTACCCTGAACAACTTTATAGTACAAAAAACTCTTAATTTCTCTGGCCTTATTTGAGAATTAACAAGAAAATCCAGTCAACACAATGGCCCTCTGGGTCCTTGTTAATGACTTTAAATTTCAAATAGACAAAATTGAACAAGTGTTTGAATCCGGCTCATGAATGCAACCGTGGTAAACAGACCCATGTGAGCTTGTTAGAGAAGAGGGAGCTTCTAGACTGCTACAATGACCCACGCAACTCTATGTTCTCTTTGTAGCTAGTTTTAAGTAAAAGGAAGGAAACATCTATAAGTGATAAGAACTAGACAGCTAAGGATCATACCTTAAATACACCTAAACCTAAAGAGAAAGAAACCTAAATACACTGTCAGGTGCACTGACAGTATAGTTCATGCAAACTACAGTTTAGCATCTGATGAATAAACCATTTTGGGTTTCATAGCTTAGCTACATGAAGAGTTCATTGGGAAACACTGTATTCCATGAACAAAGAGAACTGTGCTGTTTGTTTTCAAGGTGCCACTTAGCTTTGAAAGCATGTAGCTACTATTTTGCCTGTAGTATCCAGCAGGCAGGTGTAAGAAGAGCAACCATTCCTCAGGTTTTAAAAATAGTAGTATATTATAACTTGGAAGGCTAGTCCTAACATACCAAAAGACGTAGATCAGTAGACTCTATTTAAAATAGAACATTCTCAGTGCTGAAGCAGCTTCAAACATACCATAGCACAAAATCAGATTAAAGGCTTTCCAGAGATCCTCATATGATTGTCCCTTCTGCCAAATGCCTTCCTTTGGGGGAAAAAATACATAGAGACTAAAAGAAATAGAAAAGTTTATTTAGCCAAAAAGATCATTCTTACTACCTTACACTTATTAAAAAACAACAACAACAACAGCAACTAATGCCTGTCAGACTGTTACACATTTGAGCCTCACAACAATCCTAGGAGATAGGCGGTGAGGTCCATGGTATTATTGTTTCACAGGTACAAAATTAAGACAGTAGGGTTGCTGTATACAGTTATCCATGTTGCTCACTGCCCTAGGTCCTCCAATGAAGCAGGCCAGCAGGTACAGGGCTACAGACATTTAGAGGAAGGAGTGCTGTAACAGAGCAGGCACCAGACTTGGGCCCCCACACCCAGGAAATGGCTAACAAGCCACAATAACCCAGTCTTCCAGCCTTTCCTGCAGGTGCTGCTTGCCCTCAGAAACTAAGGCCAAATGCCAGAAACCACAAGCTCCAAACAAGCCCCCATGACCCAGAGCTCAACCAGTTTGATCCAATTCAGACACTGTGCTAACCTTCCAGCCCCTAAAAGGGTGGATGCTCCCCTGTGAAGACCAAACAATCTGAGCCAGCATGGACCCCAAGTGATGAATTTTCACTGACCTTTTCCCCTTACTATAATACTAAAAATCATGCCCAGGGATAGGAACTTAACACGCTAATTAGGCATGCAACGCAAGAAGAAGCAAGAAGCATTAACCTTTAAGTGCGCAAGCACAAAAAACAAAACAAAACAAAAAACGCTACACACTTATACATCACCCTTTTTCTGCCCGGGCCTCCTTAAAACTCGCCCAGCCCTCTCCTTGGGAACCCAGCCAGCAGACTCTGTGCTGTCCCTTCTGCTGGAGCAGTAAGCCCCAACGAGGCTTTGCCCAGAACTCCCATCAATTTCTATGGCTTAGAGCCCAAGGGTCTGACTGGGAACAGCAGGGCTTGCTAATTTGCACAAATGCCCCTTTTACTTTCCACTAGCCCCATTTACTGTGAGCTTGTGGGGCCGACCACTTAGATGATGCCTCTTTTTTTTTTTGTTTTCAGTTTTATTTAAATCCAAGTTAGTGAACATATACCGTAACAATGGTTTCAGGAGTAGAATTTAGTGATTCATCACTTACATATGATACCCAGCGTTCATCCCAACAAGCGCTCTCCTTAATGCCCATCATCCATTTAGCCCATCCCCCCACCCCTACCCACTCCAGCAACCCTCAGTTTGTTCACTGTATTTAAGTCTCTTAAGGTTTGCCTCCCTCTCTTTTTCTCTTATTTTTCCTTCCCTCCCCCTATGTTCATCTGTTGTATTCCTTAAACTCCACATATGAGTGAAATAATTTTTCTCTGACTATATAATGCCTCGTCCTAATTGGCACTAGGACATGGTACAGACTGGTGAAAACTGTGTCCCCGAGCCACCCAAAAACCGCTTTTAATGGGAAAGCACAATGACTGCAATCCAGATCTACTGACTTCCAGTTCATGGCTTCAAGTAATGTATGGTGAAAATTCTCAACACAAATGGATTTATTGACATGTCATAATTTAGTGACTCACACAGCCCCTCCCAGTGATCTCTGAAGGAGTGCTTTGTGAATAGAAAGAATGGAAGTGTACGGTGGCACATGGCCGGCTCAGTTGGTAGAGTGCACAACTTACACCTAGGTCATGATCTCGCAGTTTGTGAGTTAGAGTCCCACGTTGGGCTCTGTGCTGACAGCTCAGAGCCTGGAGCCTGTGTTGGATTCTGTGTCTCCTTCTCTCTCTGCCCCTTCCCTGCTCTCTCTCTCTCTCTCAAAAATAAACATCAAAAATTGAAAAAAAAATCTTCCACACTGTAACTGAATGCAGCTAAGTGACTGCTGCTGTAACACTGACACACAAAAACCACCCAGCTGAGCCCAGTCAACACAATTATGAGAATCAAATTGCTTTAACTCACTGAATCACAGGGGTGATTTGTGACATACCAATAGAAACCTGAAACACTGTATTCTCTCATGTACCACACATCAAAGCTATACCCTTACATCAGGCACAACCCCGATAGAATAAACCCTGAGAACAGACAAAAGAAAAATGAAATTGGATACAGAACACAGCAAAGACGATTCTGGAACATTTTACTCCCTCAGTAATCATCGAAGTGCCATTATGTGGAAGGTCCACAGCCTGGGGATGAGCGGTGTAGACTTTGGATTCAGATGTGTTGAATTTTTGGCTCTCCCAAGCTCTGGCTGTGGGAACTTGGAAAAGGTGCTTGAACTCCTCTGAACCTCAGTTTCTCTCCATAACAAGATGGAAGTTAGTCCTAACTACTTGCAGCTGCTGGAAGGAGTCAACATGATAACTTATGAGAGCACTTCCTCCCCCTCTTCTTCCTGAGAAACTCCTACTCATATGTCAGCCATCATTTCACACAGGCCACTTTTTAGAGAAAGCCCGTCCTCAAGGCCACTCTGCAGGCTCTTAGCAGGTCTTCCCTGCTGTATTTGGTCCCAGTAACATGAACTTTTTCTGTGTAAATACACATCATCCATTGTAAGTAGGTGTTTATTTGCTGACCATCTATTAATGTCAGACCCAAACACTGGAGACCGTTAGCTCCATGAGAAGAGGGTCTATCCGTTGTGGCCTAGCACCAAGCCTGGTACACAAGCAGTTATCTCTAAATACCTGTTGAATGAAAGAACAGCATTTAGCCCAGAAGCATGACCACAGGCAAAGTACTCTCTAAAAGAGAGCTCGGCATTGTCGTATGTGCTTCTGCAGGCGTGAGTGTAACAAGAGAAAAAGGTGTACAGCAGTAATTATCCAAAAGCTGGGGAAGATGGTCAGTAAACTCGATCTAGATCAAGTGCCCCTCCAGTTCTGATAAGGCAGAGATCAGCTCCCGATGAGGGCGATCCAGAAGGCATTCCAAGGGAGCAACGGCCTTAGAGAATCCACACTCCCAAGTGCCAGTCCTAATAAAAAACGGGGAGCTGAGGGTTTCTCTGTTGGGCCCAGAAGTCTGGCCTAAGGCAAAGTCTACACTAGGTCCACAATCCAAGCTTTCATTCATGTATTCATTCCTCCTATATCCAATTTTTAGTGAGCACCTACTAGCTGCTAGGCACTGTTCTAGATACTGAAGATCAATGAACAGTATCAACATGCTGACATTCTCCCCCCAAAAAAGACCTGTATGGCAACACCCTGTTACCCAGTGTCATACAATCCTTGGGTCCTAACTGCATCACCTTCTCTAATGAAGGTCAGATCTTATCACTTAAAAAATTAACTTCCTCGGGCACCTGGGTGACTCACTCTGTTGAGCGTCCAACTTCAGCTCAGGTCATGATCTCATGTTTCGTGAGTTCAAGCCCGGCATTGGGTTCTGTGCTGACAGCTCAGAGCCTGGAGCCTGCTTCAGCTTCTGTGTCTCCCTCTCTCTCTCTGCTGCTCCTCCACTTGCTCACTCTCTCTCTCTCCCAACTCAAACATTAAAAAAAAATTAAAAACTGTTTAAATTAACTCCCTCTCCCAGCGTCTCCCTTTGTTCTGCTTCTGGGTTGTATAAGGAGTGCACTGCTTGGTGGCTGCTACCCAAGGCAAGTTACAAGTCTTGCAAACCTTGTTTAAGAACATGAAAGCTGAAGGGGAACCTGAAGTATCTTCTGATTTAACACCCTTAGATGCACAAACTATGCCTGAAGAGAAGATGACGCTTGACCAACTGAAGTAACTAGGAATCCAAGGTCACTAGCCTGGGCGCTTTCAATTTCTCAAGGAAAGTTCCCGTTCTATTACCATGCGCACAGTCCTCGGAGGAGCCCCTGGGAAAAGAAAGCCACTGAACATTGAGACTAGGGTGTAGTTATAGCAGCACAAATAACTACAACATTTTAGAAACCTTCCATCAGTCACTTTACATGAATTATCTCACTTGATTCCTTGCAACTAACCCTTTCAGTTAGTACTATTATTTCTCCCATTTCACAGATCACATAACTAAGGCACAGAGAGGGTAAGCAATCTGCCCCAAGTCCCAATGCCACCTCACCGTGATGGTAGAGGGACAATGCTGGGGAACCTAGGGTGATGGCTTCCACGACCCCCACTAGCTTTTAAGGGGCCCATGAGGCACTAGAAAGATCGACAAGTCCTGTGGAATCTCAACCAGGCTCCAGAACTTGCGTTCCCTGCGACTCTGGGGCAGGGTGTGTACGTGGTACCGCGCACGGAGCCTTTCCCCCATCCCCGAAGTGGAGCCTTCGAGGAAATCCACTCCCACCCCCGCCCCGCACATCCAGAGGCGAACCCCGCAGCTGGAGGGCGAGAAGTGGGGCCCGGACTCCCGAGGGGACAGGGTCAGATCGGGAGCGGCGGGGGGCCGGGGCGGGCGCACCCCGAGCGCAGAAAGCCGGGCCAGGGCTCCCGCGCGTCAGGCCGGAGTGGGCGGGTACCTTTCGGAGGAAGCTGGCGACCACCTGCTCGAAGGGGTACTTGTACACCTGGTGCACGTCCACCGTCACCCCCATCCCCGCGCGCGCCGGGCGCCGGGCTAGCCCCGGGCCGCAGGCGTCCACGCCCGCCCCGCCCAAGGGGCATGGGAGTTTTTTCTTCCCTTTTCAAACTTTCGAAACTTTATTGTCCCCCCGGAGAACGGACAGGCGGCCGCGCCCCGCCCCCTTCCGGCACCACGGTGTGTGGGCGGGGGCGCAGCTGCGGCGGCTTCGGGTCCCCGCGCATCTGGAGCGGCCTTCGCTGACTGCGCCGCTCTGGTCCCCACCGCTCCGCGCCCTGCATCCCCGACCTGTGCGACTTGTGCCGGCGCCGCGCCTGAGCCTCGCACTCGGAACCCCTAAGAAAGGGAATCAAGAATACGGAAACTATTGGGGCGCCTGGGTGGCTCAATCAGTTAAGCATCAGGCTTCGGCTCAGGTCATGATCTCACGATTCGTGGGTTCGAGCCCGCATCCGGCTCCGTGCTGACAGCTCAGAGCCTGGAGCCTGTTTCGGATTCTGTATCTCCCTCTCTCTCTGACCCTCCTCTGCTCACGCTGTCTCTCTCTCTCAGAAATAAATAAAGCATTAAAAAAAAAAAAAAAGAATACGGAAACTACCCGCCCTCTACGTTTGAGTTGCTGAGTCTGGTGTGACACAGGTCAGCAACTGCATGACTCACACGATCCAGGCAGCCGCCTCAAAAGCTGTAAGCTGAGTCTCAAGTTCGGTCAAAATTGCCCATATCCCCTGGGAGTGTTCGGGGAATAAAGAACCCTGGCTTAGCATATCCGGCCCTGTAAACAAATCCCTATGGTCCTTAAAGTTTAAACACCGTGAAGCAAGGAACCAAGGCGCCCAAAAAGAATTTGACTACTTTTCACTGAACTGTACAGATTTTGGAAGAACGAGCAAGTGAATCCATTTATTCAATAAGTTATTCATCATATCACTGGACAGCTACCCTGTGCCAAGCACGGTGGCAGGCATGGCGCCTGCTATCAGGTAGGAGGAGTGAGCCAGGTGATTTAACATCCAATGAACAAAATAGGAAAACAAACGGGATAAGGGATTAAAGTTATGGGACTGGAGCCCGAATTTAGCTAGGGTGAATGAGGTGGTGACTTTGACATTTATAATTTTATCATCTCGCTGGCCACCGACACATATAGTCGTGCTGGTGTTACAAATCTTACACTTGGGTAAATCCAGCTCTCCCTTACTCGGTGCTTCACTCTCACCACTGCAAGACACTGGCGGCAAATTTACACCCATATAACAGGCCTCCTTTTACATTCATAATCACCAGCCTCAAGGGGCCTTTTTTTAATGGTGGTGGACAAAAAACCCCTCCATTTCTCTAATCCACTAACTGTGCCACAGTCTTCTCACCTCAAAACCCCAACACTTCCCAGGTTGGGAACCTTGCTTCCTTTTTCACGTAGTGAATAGGAAACCTCCCTCTACCACATCTATCTAACCACCTGTCCAATGCCCTGCCTTCTGTCCTACTTTTTGTTTTGTTTTGTTTTGTTTTGTTTTGAAGTAGGCTCCACACCCAGCAAAAACACAGGGCTTGAACTCATGACCTTGAGATGAAGACCTGCTGACCAAAAAAAACGACCTGAGCTGAGATCAAGAGTCGAACCCTTAACTGAGTCTGCCATCCAGGGGCCTCTGTCTCCTATTCTTGTGAGTGAACTGCCAGCAGTTAGTTTAGGGTCAGTGTCTCCTCTTGTCTACTGAATCCAGCAGTGGGCTAGCAAATGGTTAACAAACAGCTCTCCTTTAAAAACAAAACAAAAACCAGAAAAAACAAACAAACAACCAGTGATGCCTGCCCGGCTCAGTTGTTTAAGCGCATTCAGCTCAGGTCATGATCTTGCTTTCTTGCCCTGCGTCGGGCTCTGTGCTGACAGCTCAGAGCCTAGAACCTGCTTTGGATTCTTTGACTCAGTCTCTCTGTCTCTGCCCCTCCCCCAGTCACACTGTGTCTGTCTCTCTCTCTCTCAAAAAATAAATAAACATTAAAAAACAACCCAAATAAGGCCCTGATTTCTAACGATTGCAGCTTCTGTGGTGTAAATACTCCCACCAGGACCAACTTCAAACTACCAATGTGATGTCACAAAACATGGGGTTAGGAAGACAAGTGCAGGAATGCACTACTGTACGGCATTTGCACCATCTACACGTAGTAGACATAACTGCAAGAACATTAATGGAGCCAATGCAAACTTGATAAATAAGAACAAGGCTGGGGGTATCGCAAAGTCCAGGTTTCGAGATCTACTACAAAACTATAGTAATCAAAATAGTATGGTGCATACATTGTTGGTGGGAATGTAAATAGCTATAGCTAGTATGGAAAGTAGTATGGAGGTTCCTCAAAAAATTAAAAATAGAAATACCATATTGGGGCATCTGGATCTTGGCTGATTGAGCGTCTGAATTCAGCTCAGGTCATGGTCTCACAGTTTGTGAGTTTGAGCTCCACACGGGGTTCTGTGCTGTCAGCTCAGAGCCTAGAGCCTGCTTCGAATTCTGTGTCTCCTTCTCTCTGCCTCTCCCCTGCTCATGCCCTCTCTCTCTCTCTCTCAAAAAAATAAATAAATAAATAAATAAATAAATAAATAAGCATACACTAAAAAAAAAAAAAAAAGAAATGCCAAATGATCCAATAATTCCACTAGTGGGTATTTACTCCAACAAAATGAAAACACTAACTCAGAAAGATATATGCACCCCTATGTTTATTGCAGCATTATTTATAATAGCCAATATAAGGAAGCAACCTAAGTGTTCATCAGTAGACAAATGGATAAGGAAAATGTGCTGTGTACACACACATACACACACACATACACACACACACACACGAATATTATGCAGCCATAAAAAAGAATGAGCCTGTGGCATTTGAAACAACATGCATGAACCTAAAGAGTATTATGCTACGTGAACTAAATCAGACTGAGAAAGACAAATAACATATAGTTTCACTAATATGTAGAATCTAAAAAAAATGATTAAACACATTTTTAAAAAGCAGAATCAGACCTATAAATACAAGAACCAATTGATGGTTGCCAGAGTAAAGGGGGTGGGGGGGGGATGGAATAGGCAAAATGGGTGAAGGGGAATGGGAGATATAGGCTTCCAGTTATGGAATGAATAAATCATATAATAAAAGGTGCAGCACAGGGAATATAACCAATGATATTGTAACAACAGCTTATGGTGGCAAATGACAACTACTCTTGTGAAGAGCATAGCATAACAAATAGAGAAGCTGAATCACTATGTTGTACACATGACACTAACGTAACACTGTGTCAACTACACTCAAAACAATCTTTCTTTAAAAGAACATAGTGAGAGGCCACTAAGTGGTTCAGACAGTTAAGCAACTGACTTGATTTCAGCTCATGTCATGATCCCAAGGTCATGGGATTGAGCCCCATGTTCGGCTCCACTCTGAGTGTGTAGCCTGCTTAAGATTCTCTCTCACTCTCTCTCTGTGCCCCTCCCCTACTCACTCTCCCTCTCTCTCTCCCTCTCCCTTTATATAAACATTTAAATAAATAAATAAAGTTAATGGTGACTGTAATGCAATTAGGTAGGGCTGGGTTTTGAATACCTAATACCTGTTTAAGTACAGTTTATTTAACTGTAAATGTATATAATTTAATATTTAATAATATCTGTGCTTAAGAACCAGCTAACAGGATTCAGAACACAGGAGCCACAAATACGACAGCTTGGCATACTGTGTATCTTAAGCTGAAGGAGACTGGGAAAATGGCAAGAGCAGGAAGTTCTCTGACATTCCCCTCCCCTTCTTCCCTGAAGCACTTCACAAGACCCTCTTGTGAGCAATGTTCTCTGTACAGCAGAAGGAAAGTAGCATCCTTATCTCCAGGATGGGAATGTTACCCAGAAGAATGCAAACAAACAGGCTTTGCCAAGTTTCCCCACAGTGACTATGCTTACTTTATACCCTTTGTCCTATTACATTTCCACAGGCCTGCTCCCTCTTCATCAAAACTTGTATAAAAACCCTCAGGTATAGCCATTTCTACAGGTCTTCATTTCCATATGAAAGTGTCCATGTCCCAAAAAACTTACAATAAATAAATATGTATGCTTTTCTCCTGCTAATCTGTCTCTGTCAGACCCAGAGATATTCAGACCCATCCAGGGACCCTGAAAGGGTCAAGGAAAACTTGACCTACACAGCTGTACCACATCACTAAAAAGTTCCTTGTCCTCTTTCTTGTTCAAGGACATCTCTCTAGCCATATCCCCCCTCTTTCTCACATCATCTGTTTTGCCTCTTCTGGATCATTCCAACCAGCACACATACATGCACTGTGATTTCTTCCATTAAAAAAAAAAAATCCACTCTTAACCCCATACCATCTTCCAACTCTATTCCAATTTTCTGGTCCATGTTTCCTCCTGAGAAGAGTTGCCTATAATCTCTTGAACCCATTCCAATAAATTTGGGACCTTTCCAGTTCACTGAAATTACTATTGTCAAGGTCACCAATGGCAAAATTGCTAAATTCGCTAGTTAATTTTTAATCCCCACTTCACTAAACCTCAGAGCTGTATTTCCTTGAATTCCTTACAAGGAATGGGGTGAAAGGTTAGATGTCAAAGCACTTAAATGTTGAATGTATGGTGGTACGTGGGTGGCTTAGTTGGTTAAGTGTCTGATTCTTGATTTCAGCTCAGGTCATGACTTCGCAGTTCATGAGATCGAGCACCCACGTTGGGCTCCATGCTGAGGGTAGAATCTGCTTGGGATTCTCTCTTACTCTCCCTCTCTCCTCCCCTACTCATGCTTGCAGTTCCGCACATACTTTTTCTCTCTCAAGATAAACTTAAAAAAAAAAGAAAACATTAAAAAAAAAAACCCTGTTGAATGTATGTAGAAAGCAACTCTACTATATCCCAACCCCTTCTTACAGAAAAAACAAATAGCAGTCTTCCTGGGGGACTACAGACGTCCACAAAGTTGAGATAATTTCCTTGT